GGAGCAGCCGGGGCATCGGCCAGGTGCGAGGGCAAGCACTGAGCTCCCGCTCCTTCACACGCAGCATGGCCCAGGGCTCTGACTCCGGCCGATGCTCACCGCAGCCTGGCCCCATTTCTACTCTAGTCCCTGGAAAAAATGCTTTTCTACTTTCATAAGAAAACACGGAGCTGGACTCTTGCCAGTAGTGCCTGCTGACAAGACAAGAGGTAATGGGCACAAATTGATTAATGCGTCCATCTGAACACAAGAAAACACTTTTTTTTTTTTGCATGTGAAGGTGGTCAAATGCCAGCCGAAGTTGCCCAGAGAGGTTGTGAAGTCTCCAGCTGTGGAGATGTTCAAAACCCAACTGGACACAGTCCAGAGCAACCTGCTAAGGGTGTTGGACTAGATGATCTCAAGAGGTCCCTTCCAAACTAAATAATTCTGTGATTATATATTAGGCATTATGCAATAATATTAAGCATTATATAAAAGCAGATATTGCTGAAAACCTCTCACTGAATAGGTAAAACCATCAACTGTAAATGTTTGCAGATATTTTAAGTGTAATCCAAAGACAGCTCTCTGTCTTGCACATCACTGAAGAAACAAACATACCTTTTTTACAACTCCTGTAGTGGCCACGATGGTCTCTGCTCCTTCTACAGTCTTGTTTGCCACTGTGTTCACGCTGGCTACGACAGCTTCTCCCACCACATTGGCCTGCTCTTTGGTCTTCTCAGCAACTGGGATTTCAATAAAAGCAGACAAGTCAATGAGCTAGGCACTGCCGAAGGCTAAGGCTGCCAAATTCACTGGGACAATAAAACAATTCCATCAAGGTAAGAGAAGAAGTTGGCCCTGGTACAGTCCTTATTTGGATATTTTTTATGTGAGATCACGTCTGAGTTTAGATCATGCACGTGACGGTTTTGCCTGACTCGAAATGCTGGTCAGAGAGCAGCCTGTCAGTCTTTGTGGGCAACTGGAGAAGGAAAAATTCACCATAAGAGAGAACTGTGCAAATAAGGTATTTTGCATTGCAGACGGCATATGGCCTCTCTCTGGGTACCTTCTGTTTGATTTAATATACCTGGGTAGTGCGGGGGAAGGTGGAAACAAAGTAATTTAGTCATTAAATTTGCCAGGGAAAGGATCCATTGATCTCTTTTCAAGGCAGTTCAGAAAGCTGCCCAGCCTTGGAGCTTCGGATACCTAGAAAGATCCCTTAGGATCCATGACTCTGTGACTGCCTGACAGATGTCTCCAAAAGACCACAGTATTGGCCCATCATGAACTGATGCAAGTAAATCCTTTCTGTGTGCCTGGCAGCACTCTTGGCATTGTGAAACATCTAAATTGCTGTGAATCATCTGAGTCTGCCAAGTAACATTTGTTAGATTTTTTTTTTGACCTGCTCTACTGATCAAATATTTTCTCCCATCCACGTGCACTGCAAATGCCAGACCCTGAACCATCGCTCCTGGCAAGTGTCCTCCATTCATCTAATGGAAGGTCATGAAGATCAGCGGCATCTCCCAGAGACCTCTTGTTTGGCAGGAGCGATGGCCTTATCACGAGGTCCAGCAACACATAACAGATTTCCACATCTCTCTTGGGGCTGCACTCTTACCTGAGGTCACACTTTGCACGACACCTTCCTTGGTTTTGGTACCTGTGTAGGAAAACACACGGTCCGTCAGTGCTACCTGGCAAAGAACCGTCTCATTTCTGGCCACGGATGGCTTTCTGTTCTTACTAGGCGCGGTGGGGAGCCGCGGTGCTGCCGGCACCTCCTGCTAAGACACAAGCCATGTGTAGAGCCAGGAGAAGGGACCAGCTTCCTTCCCCAGTGAAGTCAATGAGCACCTTCAATTCAGGAGTCGGATAACTTCAACCACAAAACGTCTGAAGATGCCTGAACCTGAAAAATCTTGATAATGGCATGCTTAAGTAGGAAAAATTGTCCCTGAAATATATCCAAAATGAAAAGAACAGTTGAACAGAAGTAAATCCATGTTAAGCTAATTGCAAAAATGAACGTATATTAAATGACCTGGTGAAATCTCACCTACTTCAGTCTTTCAAGAGGTGGAGTCCCACCTGTGACTCTCCCCTGCCTCAGGATACTTGGCTGTAGCAGTCATGTCAAGCTTCATTCTATATCTCTAATAAGGACTCTGGAGAAACTTGAGGCTGGATGTACAGAACCACCACCCTCCTGTTACATACCTACTTAACAGATTCCCATTTCGATGCCTCAGCCCAGGCTTTAAGTGCCTGCTCACAGCGATACACACAATGTGGATGTTTTTATCTCAGATTATGAAAGTACACCATACATATGCTCACACTGTAATTTATCTCGCTGTTCTCAAGGCAGAAAAGCTAACAGGATGTGAGGGCATTAAGTTTTCAACACAAATAGTCCTTAAGGAATAATTAATCGGTGCAGTTTTCTTCCAAGCTTGAAGTGACCTGCTATACGTTCCTTCTATTTGTATACTGCATGTTAAATCACATGGTAGATGTGCAGCTCCCACAGTAACTAGATGCTTTTTCACATTACAAAAATAAAGGATCAGATTTATCTCTGTTGGAATTTAACAGGTGCCAAAAGGTTTTGCTGGTCCCGCTTTGCTGTATTTTGTAAATCATCTGCACCTATACAGGCTCTTTTCAACTTTCCCATACCGGCACAACACAAGGATTTTTATGGCAAACTGTCAAAATGATAGAAACAGAAAGCCAGGCAGATCTTTAACTCCAGAGGTACTAGAGCATCCATGGGTGTGGTGGGAGAAAGCAGCTACAAACCACACCTTGTTCTCATTAACAGCCTAAAAAGCAAAACACGTGCAGTGCCCTGATAACAGATCCAGCCCAGCTCTGCCCTGCCCGATACGTTTAATATATCATTGAATGTAATTCTCAATTGTTGATTTATTTTGGTTGTTGCAAGGGTTGCCCAGGACAGAACAAAGCTGTTCTACCACAATATGCTCTCAACATTTCACTCCATCCTCACGAACTCTGTTAAACCCGAAGAGATGAAGTATTTGTACTTTATACTTGTTACTGCTGTAAACTGCAATTCCTAATGATGCTTACAGTACGTGTGCACTGCTGTAAACTGGATTCAGCAGCGAGTAGAGCAGATGCAAGTCTCAAGCCACGGATGTGAGCTCCTGGACAGGCCAAACACACACAGTTCAATTCATACATCATCCTGCTTCACTTCCCCTCCCAGTGCCGTTCCAATAAAAGACGGACACAACATTGATTTGACATATCAGATCTTCTCATATCAGACACACACACGTTCAAGCTCGGCCCTTCTTTGCTGTTATGTGGTCAAAGAGCTGTTGTTCGGTAAGCAAAGTGTACAATGTGCTGTACGAGCCTTGCATACGTTTCAGTTTGGCAGTAAACACGTTTAGTGAGACAAAAGCTGTACTTCTGTACATTTTTTACCAGACTTTTGATTTAAGGTGACTATCTGGGCTCGATTCTTTTGCAGGCCGAGGAGAGTGGCTGGGTGCCATAAATTCTGGTGGAAAATAATTCCAGAAAGGAGGGATGCAGGTAGAAGAAAAATACCCAAATCCATTTTACAACAGAAGCAATGACAGTGGGAAAGGCCAGTGCTGGGGAGAGCTCGCCTGTCTTCCCAACCCAGTCTGCCGACCACACCCAATGACTCAGCCTCAGCATCCATTACGCACCGCATGAAATGTGACCTTCCGGCGCGTACCCTCGCCAGCAACCCGCATCTGTTGAATCAGAAAGCAATCACCTGATGCTCAATCTCATTTCACTCATTAGGCCTTGCCTGCAGCTTGTGTACACAGAATTAAGAGTTCATGCATCCTGCCTCTTCTGAGTGAGTCATCCGTAAGAGCTTTGGTATTGCAGGGGTGCGACCGAGGCGGCGGAGCGCTGTGCAGTGGGAAAAGAGTTGCAGTAGAAAAAAGGTGCTCTAAGTCCTGCAGGACATCGTGCTGGAGTCACTTCAGTTAAGGACCGCTTGGTATGTTGGGGCTTTCTGCCACATGCATGATCGAAAGCCGGTCTGGAAAACTAAAAGCGCGTTCTTTGTTGAGGCTCCCTGAATTATAGTATTAAACAATACTAATAACCTTATACTCAATACTCTGACACAGCTTCGCATTAACTTCATTCATTAACTTCAGCATCACTTATCCCCCTATTTAAACCAAATAAAACAGACAACCCATTGAATCAACTTCTGGATACGCATTAACCGTGCAGGATCTCACAGCCATGCTGGTACACTGAAGTTGCTACAGTCTGGAGAGCAGACTGTGATTTTACTAAGCGTGAAGGCACCCTGTGCTACAGGATTTCTCTTTCTCTTTTCATGCATCCTCCACTCCACGGGTTCAGCCAGCCAGGCAGCGGGAAGGGAGCACCCTGTGCTCCTGGCTACCCCGACGGCACCTCTGGCCAGCCCAGCTGTGCACTGCACTGCAGTGCCAGCACAGGATGGGGACACCTCGGGCTCTGGAACTGGTTGCGGGAACTGAACCTGTGTGGCTCAAAGAAGTGGGATGAGGTGGCTGCAGAGCCCTGATGACACCACCCACTCCAGGCGGATGCCTCTGAAAGAGCATTTTTTTTTTCTCCTGAGGCAGCAGCAAGTGACTCACCAGACGTGGTGGTTGTGTCCAGACATCTGGAATCCTCCTTGGAGAGTCAGTGATGAGTTAACACAAACCTGAATAGAAGTCAGGGATCCACTTAATCCACGCTGGGCTTTGGGGTTCCCTCTCCTCTTTCCTGACTTTCTGAAAAGACCCTCAAGCTTTTATGCAAGTATTATTTTCTCCTAACATCCAAAAATTCAGGTTGCGTCACATAACGCTACAGACTGAGCTGCTAAGATTGGGCTGTGCAAAGCAAGGAGCAAGGAAGGAACAGTTCAGGTCTCTGGTTAACCCTTCAAGTGTCATAGAGCGAGAAAAGGTGGCACAGACAACATACTAACCACTCCAGTTTTAATCGATATACCTGTCCTCTACCTCCTCTATTTAAAAATCAATTCTCTGAGCTAATCAGCATCTGGCCTTTACTTTTCCTGTCTGTGAAAGTCTGAATATTCCCCAAAGGGCTGAGCACCCCCCAGCGTGCAATAGGAACTGAATCAGCCCCAAGGCAAAGCATGACAGCGCAGGAACTGCCGGTACACCAGAAAATCCAACAAAATAAAACCAAAAAAAAGAAAAGGAGAAAGCATTTCATCTTCAACTTGATCCTCATTCAGAGATTTAGGTTTTAAGAAGGCTTTTAGGAAAATTTATTGAAAAGGTTAGAGTCTCACGAGCAGACTCTGTACCTCATGGCTGTGCAGAAGTGAAAAACAGGTCACAATATGGAGATGTACAACGTGACTGAACAGAGATGTGAGGAACTACGTATGAAAATTTAGAACAATCCTTTCTGACATCGCTCAAATCAGGGAGCAGTTGGAATGCCATAATTTGACACCTAGATGTGATGTTTCACAGGCTGGTGTTCCCATTACTCTGATTAGTTTAATTATTTACAGGGATGTTGTTTACCTTTTTTTCTCAGGAGTCAGCTTCAAATTGAAACGTGAGCTGTTACTCATGTTCATTCACAGCATGCCAAAAGTGAGTGTTTAAAATTTCAGGATGAAGACGTTACCAGATCTGCTACACGTAAAATTTGTATTTCATTTGTTATTTACGAATATACATCAGTGACTATTGTCAATATAAAACTGTTTTAAACATAGTCGCTACACACAGCTGTGGATGTTGCAGCATGATGGCAGGAAGAGCCTGCATGTAAACTTTCCTACTAAAAAAACCCCCTCACTCCCACATCCAGCAAACATAAAAAAGCTGTATGAGGCACAGTAATCAGCACCGAGGTAATCAGTTTTGGTAACTTAAGACTTCACAGATTTTATAGTATCTGGAACATCTGACCATCCAGCCACATAATTATATGCACTAGGCAGTGGAGACAGCAGGTTTTGAGGGTGACCTTGAAGGAGAGGTTTCTGAAACAGGACACTAACAGCGAGAGAGGTCTCCAGCAGAACATCAGACGTGCCGTTTTCCAGATCCTATCCTTTAGGCAAAACGAATTCGGCTGTCTCTTGTAAAGCAAGATTAATATGCGCATCAGGAATGAAACAGGTCGGTGAACAGGAGGAGGATTTCAGGATAAAACAGCATGTTTGTGGGGAAACAGATGCATCCTGCAAGTGCCTCTTAATAACGCTGCTGGCTCCTCTCAGGGACCTCATCAGCGTGTCTCCCAAAGTGTGGAGGCGAGGTGGAGATGAGCAGTGTTTGGATGCTTGGAGAGTGAGTGATTCACTCTGCAAACAATCCATGAATAGTCATAACAGAATCCTTCAACCTGGGCATATGCTCCTTAACATCGCATTTTTTTCTGCCTCCCCTGAAGTGGCAGCTGTTCCTATGTCTAATTTGCAGTTGGGGAAACTGAGGCAGGGGGAGGATGTGGCACCCCAGGCTTGCACAGCCACTCTGTGACAGAGCTGAGGATGCTATCCAGACCTCTGGCCATTCAGTCCCAAGCTTTACCTACAATACAACTTCCCCAGACTTTCTCAGAGACAACCTATGTGGCAGTTCATGCTCGAATGTGGATTGAAAATAGTTCTCTTACCTACATACATCACCCCTTCTTTAGTCTTCTCTGCAGCCTCTGTCACTCCCTGCTTGGTCTTTTCTGCAGCAGCCACCACACCTTCTTTAGCAATGGAGAAACCTTTCTTAAAGACATCCATTCTTGTTGCTTGCTAGGATATCACCTGGACGATCCGAGTGAGGGACAGCAGCAAAAAGCACCTCGAGATCAAGACTGCAACACGCAGCTTTACCCTCAGCAGATGCTCAGCTACTCTGGCAGTCCCTGTCTGTGCTCTTACTCCTCGGCTGGATGAAGGCAGTGTGGAAACCTCACAGCCTTTGCCGGCTCTTATTGATGAAGAGCACTGCAGTGTAGCCAATGCCTGTGAACAGCTGATACTGAAATATTAATGATATGGATCTGCTGGCAAAGATTTAAGAAGGGAGGGGGGGAGGAGGAGAAGGAGGACATCGGTAGGTAAGGGACTGTCTGGAAAATCTCCAGACAGATAAAGCTTTTAAAACATGCTGCAATGCTCTCACTCTAGGATGCTCTCATGGGAAAAAGGAGACTTTTTATCTGAAGAGCTGAGTTCCTGAAAGGGCATCTGCCTAAGGCTGTGGTGGGAGACAAACACAAGCTCTCCTGGGTTCCCAGAGGCTGGAGAGCATGTAAAGCTGGAAATGTTCGTAGTGAACAAACAGGGTCAGGTTTCCTGGTCTGGCAGTTACCAGAAGCCATTCTGCACAAAACCATAACAAGAATATTATTTCTAGTAAATATAGAAAAAAAAAAGAACCACCTAGGGCTTGGTGCTCAAGTGAAGGGAGCTGGAAGTCCCACTTGCCATGTTTGTCAAGCCCAGAGTTGGCCCCTCAAGGCATTTCAATTTTTGCTCAGCTGCACATCCCATTACAATGGTTCATTTCTGAAAAATCAGATGCCTGTTGGGGGAAATCCTGTTTCCTATTTGTTTCTCTGAGCTGCTGTAGACAGAGCTCCGCTGCTGCAGAGCGAGACGACGTTTTACACCGACGTCATGGCTCACGTCGGAGGTCTGTGCTGCTGAGCGCAGTGGGGCATGAAAATCATCCAGCTGAGATTTGACCAGGGAAACCTTACGGTTTGCACAGAGGATCCATCCAGCCTCAAGGCCTCACTAGGAAAAAGTACCAAAATGTATCACCATTAATCACAGTTGGATATCCTAATATGCTTAAACTCAACCTAAGTGGTTTTCTGAAGGAGATTCTGAGCAATCCAAATCAGCTATTATCCCACTAGCATGAACTGAAATTCGATGCAAGCACCCATGAAAACAATTGCTGGTGCCACAAGGTGATCACCTATTTTTATTATGATTTAACGGTGCCACATCTCAAACTACAGAAGCCATGGAGCACTGGTCTCTGAGCACAAACCCTGACTGGCTTTGCCTGCTTTTCCTGACCAGGCAAACAGAATACAAAATTCAGAGGTTTAACTGCATTATGGGAAGGTAGCACACTGTAACGTCAAGAAGCGTAGTGGTCCATAAGCCACTGCTGCCACAAGTTATCAGCCTGGAAGGGTCAGATGGGGAATAACTACAGAGAAAAGATAAAAGTGAATAAAAATAAAAAAGAGACAAGTCTGTACATACATGCAGACACGTACACAAACATAGTTCTTCCTGTGGAAGTAAGCTTATTTCTTTAGTTTTGGGGAGTGTTTTTTTACTCCATACTGAAACAATTTAAAGACTGTTGATCTGGAAAATAACATACAGATTTCTTAATCTTTTTCTCACAAACGGGTCTCCTTACTTCTAAATGAAGAACACATCTCCATTTGAATGTAGAGCAGCCAAATCTCTGACAGATTAATAAATTTATCAACTGTTAATCAAAAAAAGTGCAAGATTCAGAGGAAGGCCATCACAACATACCAATTACTATAAGAGCTCTCATTGTTCTAGACTGTTGCAGCAAGGAGTGAAAAAAGGTTTTTCTTACCATCTTTCAAAATTTCCTTTAGGTGGCTGATTGGCCACTATTCAAGGTGCATGGCTGCTGCTTGTTTCAGCTCCCAGCATAATCTTAAATTGAAGATATATGTGTCTTATTGTATCATACGGCCAGTGGTTTACACTAGACTTCCATTGATTTCATCAGGCATAGGGCGGGAGTCTTGTTTTTACTGCATTTGGTAAAAAGTGAATTTGCCATCTTTGGGAATTGCTACCGGGCCAGCTTCCTTTTTCACTAGGCTTTCAAAGAGCATTAAAGCAGAGCACAGCGCTTCCCAGGGTTGGGGGTTTTACTGGTGTTTTCAGGACGACGCCTAGCCTGATAAGGCTGAGTGAGAAGTGTGTTTTGATTCTGTTAAACTCTTGTTCTGTCATTGTTGTTTGTACAATTGAATTCTACGTATTTTGCATTGCTATAAAAGGTAACAAATACATGAAATACCAAGCCATGCTCAGATGTGAAACATGAATCATCACCAGATGGAATTAGCAAGTACTTGAGCGGGATACTCCTTTCCTGCCTTCTCCTCTCCCAATGACCTTCAGAAAGAGCTCACAAGAGGCACTTAAACGCCATTGGATCACTCCCAAGGCAGCAGGCAGCTTGCATAGGCATTGTTTTACCTTGAAACCCTTTTAGGAAAGCTCTGGACGCGGGACAACATCAGAGGTGATCTATATAGGACAAACATCAATAACAGCTCCTGAACGTTTGCTGCTCCATGGCAACTGTGGTGCCCCATTTCTAGTCTAAGCAGAGGATTCAGTTCTGATTTGATGCCAATCCTGCCTCGGACAAACCTAACAACAGGAGATTACAGAAGCAATCTTCGCTTTCAGATTTTGTGAAGATCTCAACTTTTTCCCTGAAAGAACAATTTTTCTGTTGATTTAGACAATGTAATCAGCAGTTAAAGAGAAGCTCCTCCAGAGGGCAATTCAGAGAACCCAACTCCTATCTCACCTGACAGCAACCTATTTTTCTCTGTTATCTACCTTGAGACACTGGGGAGAAGCCGATTAAGCTAGACATTAAGTTCCCAATTTTCTTCTATTGCATTTCATTCGTATCACTTTGTAAACAAGTTCATATCTCACAAACATTTAGCTGATGTGCATAATACCAAAAGAAAGTCTCGTCTTGATTTGTGGAATGACCAGCCACCCAACCGCTGTTTGTTTAAAGCCTGAATTCTGTCTGCTCAGGCTTGTTCATCGAGTCTCTTGCTGCATAGCACCGTGGTTTCTGGGGAGTCTCTGAAAGGTGCCGTCTCCCACCTCCCTCTCTCTGGGTGTCAGTGGCTAACATCTGGAAGCAGGCCTGTGCAATGCCTGCCAGTAACTCTGGAGCATGGGCAAGACAAGTCTAACTCAAGTCTACCTGTTCCCAAAGCACAGACACAAGGGAAAGAAAATGCAAAGCAGAAATCAAGGTTCCCTGTCCTCTACTGCCTGACTTTTCTCTGTGTCTGCAACAGATTAAAACAGAATTTCACTTAATTTGTGTCTCTTTTCTCTTTAATTTTCCCAATTGCAACAAAACCTTAATCTCATCCTTTAACAATTAACTTATGTTGGAGACTATCAGCTGACAAAGGTATCTTGCTGGATGAAAGGAATGGGATTTGGTCATATTCTATTGAAGTATTTAAATGGTGCATGACGTTTGAAAGACAGGTAAGGAAAGACAGACTGCTTTTGTGGCTGGTAAATATCCTTTGTTCAGGAAGTTTCTGTACAGGGAATAATATTAACAGGATCAAACCTTGCTCTATATAAACAGGAATCCTCCCTCTCTCTCTCCACTTACGAAAACTTCAAAATGCCAAAAGAAGAACTGTCTCAGATCATTCATTTTCGTGCCCTAACAAAAACAAGCAGTTCTGTCTGACATCCTCTCGGCGAACAGTTTAGGACTTGAATCCCTGCATGTACATTTGCATAGTTAATGAGTAATTTCCTCTGCCAGGGAATGAACAGTGCGAAGGCTGACGGACGGGACGAGCCATTTTTAAGGCACACACACAGCGAGCAGAGTGCTGCCAGTACAGCACGCAGCAGTCTTTCGTGACTGATCTCTGTTGTTGAATATCATTGACAGCTTTTGAGCAAACTAAGAAAAATATGGTCAAAAAGAATTCATCTTTCTCCGCTGAAGGACAGACCACTGAAAGCAGTCCTCCTGAGCCCAGCAGCTCTTCTCCCTATGCTCCTCTCCCCTTGCTCCCCTTCTCCGGAGCTGCTGCACAGGCACATGTGCGCATCGGCAGTGGGCAGGGAATGAGACAGCGTTTTCTGGATCTGAAAACTAGTGCCTAATGAGAAGTCATCCCCTTGCTGTGCAGCTATCAACAAAACCGTCCTATTCATCTTCCCAGACATAAAATCTTTTCAGTTATTCAGTCTGCTTCAGAGACTTGCAGCTGGGATATATGAATCTAAAGCAACACATTCTTATTAAAATACATCCAGCTTTTAAAACATTTTTTCCTAGTCCTTTTTTTAATTTTTCCACCCTTTTAAATACTCACATTCTGAACTTAAGGCTATAATGTAGACTTAAGAGCACTATGGAGCAAGCAGTGAATATGGGAAGATACAAAACAGACAGACAAAAAATGGAATCTATTCACTGAAAATTTAATTTCTAAGGGCTCTGTCTCCAGAGAGAAACCAACTGGAATAGCCAGCACGTTTGCTTTCCAAGTACATATAAGCCATTTATCAAGCGTGTTGTTTGGCACAGCGTGCTGTGCGGTCACCCGTCCCCTATCGAACCGCAGTAGCTGCAGGGCTGACTCTAAACAAACAGACAGGGGCCAAGATGAGATTTTACATCTTACGCGGATTATCCAGACGATGGTGACGCAATTTGACAACTTGATTATGGAATTCCAAACAGAACATTGAATTCTCGGGGTGGGCAACATTGGAGGGGTTAAGAGGTGTATTTAATGTAAGTGGTTATAATTACCAGACAAGGCAAGAGTAGTCCTGGCAGTTGTCTGCGAGATCCCAGCGCATGCCAACGAACTTGGTGTAACTGGTACTATCAACTCTTTCAAGACTGAAAACAGTCTGAAGAAGCATTTCCCAGAAATGCTTGAGGGAAAAGTATTTTCATGAATAAGGACACAGGAAAAAAGGTCACTAATGAATGGGGACAAAAGATGGGGGAACAATATCTGTTGCCTGTCAAATTTAGTTGCCAAAATAGAGAGCGAGTGAGGTGGGTTTTTTGGGCTAACAGTTCTGAGAAGTGCTAGAAACTTCTGAGAAGTATCAGGGCAGCTCCAAACA